TGAGCTTCCCAGTTCACTACCTAGCCCCACGCCGCACTCCCTGCTCCTTCACGGGCAGCTTCCTCAGCAAGCTTCTGGGGATCCTGGCCTCCAGCCCCCTCCCACTGTCCACCTGAGTTTCCAGTCTGTCTGCTCAGCGCCTCTGCTGTGCAGGCCGCAGGCTGCTCTGCAGCAATCGCTGGCTTGATCACCTCGGTTTTTTTGTCCCTGCAGAGAGGTGGTATCTGATCCAGCAAGCTCTGGGCACCTCTGGGTTCCTTCTCTGCCTGTGTAGGCAGACTCTGAAATGAAGCTGGCGCTGTCTGCTGCTAAGTCCAGAGTTCAGCCACTCAGGAAAGTTAAGATGTCACCCCAGGTGCAAATGGACTTTACAGTGGCCACCTAAACAGGCTGTCTCGGGCAGTGCCATTCTGATAATGCAGACCTTTGCCCAAAGGAGACTGAACTGGAGACACTGGGAGTGACCAGGCAGGGCTATGAAGGTAGAAAGAAATCAAATAGTGATTGAAAGGTGGGATGTGCCTCCCTGGTGGCGCAAGGGGTTGAGATGCAGCCCATGAGGCTATCCGCAGCCACTGCAGCACGAGTTCCATCCCTGGCCAGGGAGCTACCCACATGGCACAGCAGACCTCACCTGACTCGCCTGCTGCTCCCCTCAGCAGTGTACTTCAGTCAGTCTACCTGTTCTGTTTTCCACTCTGTCTCTGGTGAATCCTCTCGCCTCCTGCACCTCTGGCCTGTACCTCAGTTCTTGTATGCATAAATAAATCTTTAAAAAAAAAAAAGGTGGGATGAGCAGGGAAATGGGAGCGTGCAATCACATCTCCCCCTGAAAACCATAGAGTCTTAACTTCCTTCCCTTGGTCCCTTCCTGGACCTCTGAAGGGTTTTCTTCCCTTCCAATCACCAAGAAGACATCTGGAATAAGAAAGTGGAAACATTTTATGTGAGCTCATTCATTAAAGGCCATGCCATCACCAGCTCCTGCAGCCCTGCTGGAGGACTCCTACTTCAAGGGTTGGTCCAGAAGGTTTTTGGGCCAGGTTTAGTGGCTGCCAGAAAGATTAGTGAAAGAAGAGCTTGATGAAAGCCAATGGCTCTGATCTCCAGTCTCCCTGAAGACAGAAAAGAGGCAGGGAGGAAAGGTCTCAGATGCGCTGTCAACAGGAAGTCAGCCAGTAGTAGGTTCTCCAAGCAAAATTCCAAGCCTCCCCCCTTCCCCATGCCATTACTATTGTTTGGGGAGTGAGGCGAGCTGCCCCAGCCTCCTGAGTTTCTTTGAAAGAATGTTTGAAGAATTGAAATGGAGTGTTCTCTCTGGACAGTGCAAATTTACAAAGGAGACGTAATATGGAGCAAGTCAGCCAAATGTTTAGACAGGGAAATACAAGAACCGGACCCACTTTAATGAGAAAATAAAGGGTGTTAAGTCTACACATACATGCATCTGAGAGCTTTCCCCAGTACACAGCCGAAGAAGGTAGATGGATCATTTCAATATGTTGGTGCCATCAGTCATATTCGGGAACATTCTTGAAAGACAGAGAAAAAACTGTTCCCATTGAATTGAGCTGTGACAGAGCACTTGGTTCATCCATTTTACCTGGGAAAAGTTGGCTGAGGTGCAGATATATGTGGATTGTTGGGCAGTGGCTAATGGCCTGAACGTCTAGTCAGAGACCTTGAAAGAAAAGGATTGGATGATTGGAGACAAGGAGGTTTGGGATAGAGGCAATTGGCTGAAATATGGAAGTGGATATATAAGTCTGAAGATTTTTGTGTCACAGGGTAACACCCATCACAAAGGATCCACCATGGAACAGACACTGAACAGACAAATAGGTAACACTCAGGCAGCGTCACCCCAGCCTGGTCACTGCACAACGGGCACATGAATGAAGTGTCCAACGTGGTGAAGCGTGGCCAGCAAGCATATCAACCCAACAGCAGCGATTCCTACTTGCCAAGTCACCTACCGCTGCCTTTAACCCTCCAACTCAATACAGCATAAGTCCTTGGGGAGGCCCCAAATTCTGAGCATCGGACCTAAGAGGCTTGAATCGCATTCTCCGAGATCCCCAGAACCCCCCGGTGGGCGGTCCTCGTGCGCGGAGGGCGCGGCCTGCGGCTTCACAGCCCAGACTACATTTCCCAGAGACCACTGCGATTAGATCGCTCTAGCCTGGGACTACATTCCCCAGAGACCACTGCGATCAGGTGGCTCTAGCCTGGGACTACATTTCCCAGCGGCCACTGGGGCAGCCTCGCCCTCCGCCTCTTTTCTCCCGGCAATTTCGTGCTAGTGGGCGCGGCGGTGGCTGCAGGCTCGGGACTTCGGAGAGGCGGCAGTCTACCCCGGCGCCGGGGGAAGAGGTGTGTAGACGCTAGCCCGCCCCTCCCTCCGGACTTCCATGAGTGCAGGGCGGGTGGAGAGGCGGGGAGGGCTCTGCGGGCGCGGGCCGGGCGGCTGGGACACCCCGACGGGCGACCCCGACACCCCCACGGGCGACCCCGACACCCCCACGGGCGACCCCGACACCCCGACGGGCGACCCCGACACCCCCACGGGCGACCCCGACACCCCGACGGGCGACCCCGACACCCCCACGGGCGACCCCGACACCCGGACGGGCGACCCCGACACCCCGATGGGCGGTGCACTTGGGGCTGGCCTGGGCGCGCGCAGGGCGGGCTCCGCGGGACCCCAGCCAGGGCGGCGGGCGCCTCGGCGGACCTGGGTAGTCGTGGGGGGCCGACGAGGAGTGTGCAGGGGAGTGCGGTGTGTGCCCCGGAGACTGCATGCCCGCCCCTGCGGCCGTGGGTGTGCGCCTCTGGGACCACGGGTCGGGGGGCGGTTCCGAGCGCCTCCCGCTCCTCGTCCCCTCGCAGCGCCGAGGGTCTGCCCCGGAGAGTGGCCCCCGCCAGGCGCCCGTCGTGGAGCCCGGAATGAACGCGGTTTCCCGGCAGAGGGCGCGGAGCTGACCTGCAGGTGGGAATTTTAGAGCTTTAGGTTCCTCCAGGAAAAGATCCTACGAGGACTGCATGGGGACCCCCACGAGGGAATCCCTTCCTCTTTGGGGACCGCAGCATTCCCAGGGCGCTGGCTCCAGTTACTTGCCTGGTTTCCACCTCCTTGTCTTTATAATAACGGGTGTGAGGACGAGGTAGGGTTGGCCTGGAGGGTGTTTTCAGAATTTCTAAAGACCAGCTAAGGACGGTTGTCTCCAGGGTCTCTTCCTCAGTTCAAAAGAAAAACCCAAAAGAGGATGAAATAATAGTTGTTGCAGAACATATTAAGATTTAGGGATGTTTTGTGTTTCCTTTTTGCTCATAACATTATTTTTAAAACATGTATCGTTTATTTTCCTTTGCCTGGAATGTTCTAGTACTAGTGGCCAACTCTAGGTCTTCTTTCTGGTGGCTGATACAGATGGACTCTTACAGATGGACTCTTCCACCTCAGTAACCCCTCATTCTCTCTTTTTTTAGCTACTATTTTCACATTACTGATTACAAATTGTTCAAATCTTCTTTTGTGGTCTCTTTCTAAGCCCTATATCTAAGGCTTTCTGATTAGATACAGCTCTTGATGTTTGCTCTTAGGGGCTATTTTATTTTTTTAAAGATTTATTTATTTATGCATACAAGGATTGGGGTACAAGCCAGAAGTGTGTGTGGGGGGGAAAGGATTGCCAGAGACACAGTGGGGCGCAGAACAGGCAGATCTGCTGAAATACACTGCTGAGGGGAGCAGCGGTGAGACTGGAGAGGTCTGCTGTGCCATGTGGGTAGCTCCCTGGCCAGGGATTGAACTCAGGCCAAAGTGGCTGCAAATAGCTTCAGAGTGCTGAGACTTTAACCCTTGTGCCACCAGGGAGGCCCTCTTAGGGACTATTTTAGACTCTGATTTGGTAAGGAGAATACTATTCATATTTGGTTGGTGTCACACACTGGAAAACTGAACCTTCTCCCATGGTTTCATTGTCAAAGATAGAAATCAGTTTAATAGTTCAGTAAACAAGTGAAAAAGGCACCTTCCCTGCCAAGTTTTTAGAATTGGGCCTGTGGTTGTAGGTTTGGGTGTATGGGTAGGTTTGTGTCCTCAGTAATTTGTTTTACTATTTTTAAATTTTTGTTTAATTTTTAAAATGTTTTATTCATTAGTCAGATTTTATAACCATTTACTATATTCCATTGGGCCATGAGAGGCAGTGTGGTGTGTCGTTGAAGAGTGTAAACTCTGAATCTCACTGTAGTCCTTTAAAACAATCCCTGGAACATAATGAGCACTCAGGAGCTATTAGCTGTTTATTGTTTGGTGATTCTGGGTCATGCCTCTTCAGAATTAAATATCAATTGAAATATGCTCAACTTGTTAAAACCAGAAAATTTTAAACTGAAGACTTTGATTCTGTTTAGAGGTTTCAGGCAAATCATGAATCAACTACATACAGGTTTGTGGGCTATAATTATATTTAATATATGTATATTCTTGTTTAAGAATTTTCTGGGGAGAAGCATTGTGATTTTATTCAATTTACAAAGGTGGGGTACATAATAAAAAATAGTTAGAACCATTGGTGTGCAAAGACTTTAATAGCTGAAGGTGATCTTGCACAAAAGTAGAGCTCAAGGTTATGTAAATGGTTGAGTAAATCAGTTCACATGCATGTGCTGGAATATTATGCAACTAATAAAAAGAAGTTTATCAAGGATCAGTATAAGAAGGAAAATGTATGTGAAATAGCATAAACTATGTGCATGGTTATAGGCAGTGATATTCAAAAAAATGTTAAACTCTATGTGAATCCCACTTACTGTCATAGGATCTTGTAAGATATTTTGCAATTACTGAAAGAAAATACAGAAGATATAAATAAATGGCAATACCCCATGTACATCAATGGACAACTGAATATTAAGGTGTCCAGGGACCCAACATAATCTATAGATTTCATGCAATTTCTATCAAAATCTCAATGACTTTTTTTGGTAGAAACAGAAAAATCAACCCCAAAATTTATATGGAGTCTCAAGGGACCCCAAAGAGCTAAAACAATTGTGAAAAAGATAAATTTTGGAGGACTTACACTTCCTGATTAAAAAACTTAGTCTCAAGCTACATTAATGAAATAAGTATGGTGCTGGCATAAAGGCAGACATGTGGACTAATGGGATAGAATAGGAGCCCGGAAATAAATCCTATATATACAGCCAAATGATTTTCTAAAAGGGTGCTAAGGACAATCAATGAGGGGAAGAACAGCTTTCTCAACTTATGGTGTTGGTGTTGGGAAAGCAGGATATCCACATGGAAAAGAATGAAGTTGGACCCTTACCTAACACCATATAAAAAATAAACTCAAAATGCTTCAAGGACCTAAATGTAAGACCTAGATCTATAAAACTTAGAAGAAACCAGAGCACAAGCTCCAAGCCATTGGATTTGGCAATGATTTCTCAGATATGGCACCAAAGGCATGGACAAAAGAAAATAAGGCAAACTGGACAGTGCCGTGGACCAGCACAGCAGTAGACGATGAGGCCACCTCAGGGTTGAGAGAAGCGTGCAGGGTGGTCAGGGCGTCGGTGAAAGAAATGACAAACAGACACACTTCAAGAGTGAAAATCTGAGTGTAATTTTCTTTGAGTTTGTGACCAGTATATATATGTTTTCCAAAAGCACAGGAACATTGAATATCAATGAAATCAGCTTGCTCATGGGCTCAGCCTATCACCATCAGGGAGGTGATCTACATAACAAACAATGACCATTATAGAAGAAAGGAGGAAGTTTAGAAAGACAGATAAGAGATTAAAGTTTGTAGTTCTAGAAAGACGGGGATAAGATTTTTAGCATTCTTGTAGTGGTTCTTGGTGGTCGTTATCTTTTGATAAGCTTCTGCCTTTTCAGGGAACTTCCGCTGAACTTCCTCTGCTTCAGGGTGTTCTCCCCCTGCGTGCTGGTTGCTGTTCTCCCCCTGCGTGCTGGTTGCCCAGCCGGACCTAGGGACTGTTAGCCCTTAAAGGTCACTGCAGGGGGAGGTGCAGCAGGACAGCATGAAAATTAACCTTTGTGTACCAAGGGCACTATAAGTAGGATAAAATGGGCAACCCATAGAGTAGGAGAAAGTATATGCAAATTACATATCTGATAAGGGAATAGTATCCTAAATTTGATAACAAAAACCCAATTCAAAAATGCAAAAAGGGGGCCTCTCCTGGTGGCGCAGGCGGTTGAGCGCCGCGCTGTGAAGCTGTCCGCAGCTTCTGCAGCGCCGGTTCAATCCCGGCCAGCTGGAGAGGGTCCCACATGGCATGGCAGACCTCTCCTGCTGCGCCCACTGCTCCCCTCAGCAGTGTATTTCTTCAGTCTGCCTGTTCTTTTCCCTGCTCTGTCTCTGGTGAATCCTCTCACCCTCCCGTGCAGCTGGCCTGTACCCTGGTTCTTATATAAATAAATCTTTTAAAAAATTTTAAAAAAAGAAACAAATGCAAAAAGGACTTGAAGAAAAATTTCTCTAAAGAAGGTATATAAGATGGTCAATATCACAATCATTAGGGAAATGCAAATCCACACTACAGTGAAATACCACACACATAAGATAGATGCTATGGAAGGAAAAAGAAAAGGCAAGTTAGGATGTGGAAATACTAGAAACTTTGTATACTGTTTGTGGGAGTAAAATGGTACAATCACCCTGAAAAACAGTGTGGCAAGTCCTCAAAAAGTAAAAATACAGTTACCATATGACCCAGTAAGTCCATTCCTGAGTATATGCCCAAAAGAATGAAAACCAGAATTTCAAAGAGACATTATTTCACAATAGCCAAAAGATGAAAGCAACACAAGTATCTGTGGACAGATGAATAAGCAAAATGTAGCATATATGTACAATGGAATATTATACAACTCTAAAAAGGAAGGAAATTCAGACACATGCTACAACATGGATGGATTTTGAGGACATTATGCTAAAGCAGTTAGTTATAAGAAGAAATAGTGTATGATTCCATTTCTATGAGGTACCCAGAGTGGTCAGATTCAAAGAAGGAAAATAGAATGATAGTTTCCAGGAGCTTGGGGGAAGAGGGAGTTGGGAGTTATTGTTTATGGGTATAGAGTTTTATTCTGGAGATGAATGGTAGCGATGGTTGCAATATGTACTTAACACCATTTAAAGATGGTTAAGATGGTAAGTTTTGCATTGTATGTATTTTACCAAATTGTCTCATATAAAAAAATAGCTTAAAAACTTTGTGGTAGATTCACTGAATAGAGCACTACTCAGTAGTAAAAGGAATTAACCATTCATACACACAGTATGGATGATTCTTGAGGTAATTATGCTGTATGAGAGAGACCAAACTAGAGTATAAATATTTTATGATTCCAATTGTATAAAATTCTAGGAATGACAAATACATCCTTCCTTCGGGTATAACTAATGGTTTCTTGGCCAAGGCATGGAGTGATAATAAAGGGCTATGAGGTAGCTCTATGGGTGATGGATAGGGTCATTATCATAATTACATTGTTGGCTCCCTGAGTATGTATGTTTTAAATGTATCATATTGTATGTATCAAATACATACAATGATTGCACGACAATTGTATTTCAAAACAGCATTAGAAATTATATACAAAATCTGATCTCCCACTCGTTTTTGAAAATTGGAAGATTTGGCAATCCTACATTTACTCCATCTCTCTCATGCCTTGGTAGCAAAAGTGACTGTCCATGTCACAAATGCTATTTCCATGCAATACAAGATTTACTGTTCTCAGTTCTTTTCCTGCCTGCTCAGGAATGGCCTTGAGAAGAGCAGAGGGCCTCCCTGGTGGCCCAGGGGTTAAGGACAACACTATCAAGCCATCGTCAGCCACTGCAGTACCAGTTTGGTCCCTGGCCAGCCAGGGACTCCCACATGGTACAGCAGACCTCTCCTGTCTTGCCCACTGCTCCCCTCAGTGGTGTATTTCAGTAGATCTGCCTGTTCTGCTCCCCACTCTCTTTGGTGAATCCTCTCACCACCCCCCACACCTCTGTCTTACACCCCAGTTCTTGTATGCATAAATAAATTAAAAAAAAAATAGAGCAGAGAGCCTGCAGAAATCCAGAGCCCTGAGATGATTTGCCCCACCAGAAACCTTAGTCATAGGATAGGTCTGGAGGTTCTGAAAATTTCTAAGTCTGAATCCTGTAGTCATATTCAGGGTCACATTTGTGGATATAGTTTTAGAATAATTACATCCCCTCTAGTTGTTGCTGTCTCACCCACTCCCTATTAATATCCCCCAGTGTTCTGAATTTTTTGCTCCCACCTGAGCCTAGTAAGTCTTGCAGTTGAGACACTTGTATACCGGCTGTTAGCCTTTAAGACTTGTGATTCCTTTGCCTATGCCAAATAAAAAGTGTCTGCTCCATGGTAAGGAAATAAGGGACACAATTCCTATTGCTCCTAGCTGTATAGAAGGCTGTTAGAACTGCCCCTTCCTAAGAGTGATCTCTGGTCATAAAAATTCATGTTATTCAGAACACAAAACCCTATGGTCCTTCCTAGAAGGCTTTGAGGAGCAATACAAATGAGACCAGATGTTCCCTGCTATCTTGCTGTTCTCTCTGTGGAAGTAAAATTGGGGACCCTTTGGTTTGACAGATCTTAGTTCTGTTTTCAACCCACTTCACACAATGGTTATAACACAGGAGACTGAAGGTATCTTTATCAATAGGCCCTGTTATCACCCACACCAGAGTGATGTTAAGTAGGTAGCTGTTGGGATGGGTAACGTGGAAGCTGAATAAATCCATCATAAGCACCACATGAGCTCAAGGGTGTCCTTGAAAAGGAGAAACTTGGCAAGCTGCCAGTAGAACGCAGCTGAGGTCTTTGTGACCAAAGATGAGTATGCCCACAGCTAAACCAGTCACAGGGGTGGGAATGGCATCTTCCTATGGCCTCAGACTACTCATGACTCCCTCTTGGAAGGAAAGATGTCCGCCATCCCTAAGCACACAGAGTGGCTGGCATATTCTCTGGAGACCTGCCAGATAGAGCTGAGATGGATAGAGCTGAGATGACTCTATCAGTATCAAAACTGGTAAATTCCATAGTCAAAAAAAATGCAATGTAGGTCCACAAAGTTCCCAACATATCTAACATTCATAGGAAATCTCCCTAGTGTGAATATTTGTATGAACAATGTTCAATTTCTGGTTGAGGACTCCCTCATAACGACTACTCTCAGAGCTTATCTCTGGTGTGGCTTGCTGAGCTGAAGGAGGAAGCCCCTCCTCCTTGTTCCTTTCTCTAGTGTGAATTTCCTGATGCCGGATGAGGCTAGGCCTTTGACTGAAAGCTTTTCCACATTCACTGCATATATATGGCCTACCTGGTTTGTGCACTTTCTGGTGCTGCCTCAGGTGAGGCCTCTATCTGAAAGTTTTCCCACACTAAGTGCATTTATAAGATTGTTCACTGGTGTGAAGTCTCCAATGGTTATTGAGGCTGAAGCTTCAGTTAAAGAATTTCCCACATTCCAAGCGCTGATAAGGTCGCTCACCAGTATGGAGTCTTCAGTGGCTGTTGAGGCTGGAACTTTGGCTAACCTTATATTCACTCATAAGGCTGTTCACCACTGTGGACCCGCTGATGTTTCATGAGGTTGGAGCTTCGGCTGAAGGCTTTCCCACATTCGCTGCACCCATAAGGCCGTTCACCGGTGTGAACTATCTGATGCTGAATGAAGTTGGCAGTGTATCTAAAGGATTTCTCACATTCGTTGCACTTATAAGGTCTTGCTCCAGTGTGAACTCTCCAATGTGTAATTAGGCTGGAGTTGCAGCTGAAGGATTTCCCACCGTCGCTGCACTCATGCACACTTTTACCAGTGTGAACCCTCTTATGATGAATAAGGTTGGATCATTGGCTGAAGAGTTTCCCACATCCGCTACACTCATAAGGTTTTTCACTAGTGTGAACCCACTTATGCTGAATGAGGTTGGAGCTTCGGCTAAAGAACTTCCCACATTCACCCCACTCATAAGGCTTCCCTCTGTTGTGAATTCTCTGGTGTTGAGAGAGGCCAGCAGCATGGCTAAAGAATATCCCACATTTGCTACACTCATAAGGTCTTTCTCCAGTGGGAGTATTCTGGTGCTGAACAAGGGTGGGTTTCTCACTGAAAGCACCCTCTGATTCATTGCACTTGTTACGGCTTTGCACAGTGTGAGAATGCACCATGCCTTCCATACTTGGGTTTGGCTCCTCTGTGCTGGAAGAGATCTGAGGCTGGAGAAAGCTGGCTTAGGCCACAAAGTTTTCCCCACCCTCCTTGATTGTGAAAGGCTTCTCTGATGTGCTGTCCCTGCACATCTTCACCAGCGAGGTCCTGCCCTACTCCCTTCTTATTGGCGTGTCTACATTCTGCTGCATCTGTTGCAGGTGAAGGTTTGTGCTCGACTCCAGCCCTCTCCCATGAGCCTCACGCATGTGGGGTTTCTGCCTGGAATGTGTTTCCTGGTGTTCATCCAGGTGCAAAATGTCTTTCAAGTGTAGGCCACACATATCTTTCTGGGTAGACAGAGCAGTCTTGGGATTCCTGTTCTGTGACAGCCTTTCCACAGAAACTCTGTGTTCATAAGGTGAGTCGGTTCCATCGCAAAAATCTGAAAGCAGAGAAATGGTGGTGAAGTTCATGTTAACTTTGAGAGAAAGAAATAGCCCCGTTACAGATGCCTGTCTGACCCAGGAGTGAGCCCATTGGACTGTTGGCAGGATGAGGAGCCTGAGGTCAGGGTGAGGACTGGACCACTCTTACCAAGACCAAGGACACAAATATGGGGTAGTCTCAAGTGGATGGCACTACCCTACAAAGGCTTTCAGTGGGCACTGGCTGCTGGTAAATGCTGCCCAGAAGGGCATGTCCAGTCCCAGGAAAATCCGAGTACATCCAGGTAGCTGGTGTTTAAAGGCTATTAAAGGAAATATACACATTTCACAGCACATTAAGTGTACCCCACTTTGGGGTACACCTGGATGAACATCAGTGCCATAGAGGGAGCTGTGGAAATAGAGATGTGGTGACCAGAAGGATGGGGCACGGTTGGGGGTACAGAGTTGGAGTAAAGAGCTGGGGGGCAGTGTATCAAGCAAGGGGAAGGAAAGGAAGAAGCGTTGTGGCCATTGGCTTTGATATCAGGATAATCATGAAAATGAGAAGTTTTTTTTTATAAAGATTTATTTATACAAGAACTGGGTACAGGCCAGAAGTGCAGGAGGGTGAGAGGATTCACCAGAGACAGAGCAGGGAACATAATGGGCAGACGACTGAAAACACTGCTGAGGGGAGCAGTGGGCGAAACAGGAGAGGTCTGCCGCACCATGTGGGTATCTCCCTGGCTGGCCAGGATTGAACGCTCGCTGCAGAGGCTGCGGACAGCTTCACAGCACTGCGCTCAACTTGCTGCGCCACCAGGGAGGCCCAAAAATGAGGAAAGTTGCAGGTACAATGTGAAGGCCGTAGTGATGTCCCTGCTCCTCCATGGCCCACTCACCAGAGCCAGGTCCACTATATGCCCCTCTTGCCATGGCCGAAGGCATGTCCACTCCGTCAGGCACCTGGGGTCCTGCCCCCATCTCCAGCTGGGCAACGATGTGGGAGCTGAAAGAGGCAAGTTCTGAGGAAAGACAAGGCAACTGTGGGCCAGCACTCGGCCCTGAGAGCCCCCCCAACAACAGGCCCTGGGAAAGAAAATGAAATGTTACTAAAAGAATATACACGGAGGTCTCATAGGAGCACCCGGAGGCCACAGCAAGTAGCAATCCCATCAGTCCCTACACTCCTGGAACACACCGGCTTTGGGAAATATGGGCTAGACAAGAGGTGCAGAAAGGACTGTCACAGATCTGGTCTGTCCCCCAGATGGGGGAGTCACCATTTAGGTGGAGGCCGTCAGACTCACTGCAGGACTCCTCACTCCTGAACCCTTCGCACAAGGCTTTGGGGCAGCAGGTGTTCAGGCTGCTCTGGGAGAGGGCGGGGCCCTGCTGACCGCTCAGCCTGGGCCCCCTGCCACATAACCAGGGAGTGGGGAAGGAAGCAGGGCCCGTGGCCCAGGTGCAGGAAGGAAAGAGCCTTAGAGAGCAGCTCAGGATGCTCGGGGCGGGGTGGGGGGGTGGCGAAGGCCTTACCCAGCAAGGCTGTGAGCGCGAAGTTCTCCAGCATCACATTGCTGTACCGGAGTCGCTGAGCCTCCTCAAGGATTCCCCACTCCTCCTGGGAGAAGTAAATGGTCGCATCCTCAAAAGTCACATAGCCCTGCCATGGAGGGGACAGTGCATTCCATGATCAGCTCTGGCCTCGGGGCTCCCTTCCCCAGCTCTCCCACCCCCCACTGGTCCCAGGCGACTGCCAACACTGTCACCGGTGCTTGCTCTTCCCTCAAGCCTCACACGATCACTTTATCAGCCCACGGCCCCCACAGGTGCTAAGCTCGCCGCCTGAAGTGCAGGGCCCAAATCCCTCCCCTCGTGCCCCCAATGCCAGGCCTCATACAAATGTGCTCGAGCTCCCTTAATCCCAGTATTCGGGCCTTGGGGCCAGCCCCTCACACACCCCATATGTATGTCACCTTTTGGGCTATACCTTACCCAAACTGGCCCTCACCCTCGCCCCCCACACTGGCCCTCATCATAGATGTCTACGTGGAGCCCCATATGCCACTCTGCACAGGGCATCCTCTGGGGTGTTCTTGGCAGGCACAGCTATGATCCCATCCTGCCCCAGAATGCCCACCCCACGGCTCCCTAGGGGTGCCAAGGACAACACCCACACTTGACTTGAAGGCCTCCCACCTGGCCCTGTCCTGGCTTCAGTGTCAGTCACCAGTGTGGCTAAGATGTCAGATCCTGTGCCCTTGGCCTGTCCTGTGTTCCGCATTCTGTCCCTTCATCAGTCACCTTAACAAACCCACCCTCTGGTCCCCCTATCTCCAGGTGCCAGACTCCAGCAGCTCTCCCTGCTGATGCCGCTTCCCCTGGAGCTAATTCCTCAGCCCAGCTGAGACTCACGTCTGCCCCAAGAGTCATTGTAAAGCCTGCGGAGAGGCAGAGCGGGGAGCAAGCAGCAGCTCAGGTTTATTGTAATACTGAAGTGGGACATTACCAGGGGGCTTGAAGGCCTGGCTCTGTGACACGAGGTGACCACAGACCGCCTTTGAACCCCCACCTGACCCCTGTTCAGTGGAGCTCAGCTAAGCAGATGCTTATCTGGGGTATGCAAACTGTACTGTTTCTGCATGCTTTTCTGCCAAGCTGTATACAAACCCACAAACCATGTTACTCTGGCTCAGTCCTTTGGAAACTGTCCCACTGAGCCCACTGATGTGACCAATAAATCTCTCTCTCTGTCTCTGTCTCTGTCTCTGTCTCTCCCCCCACCCCTTGGAGTGCCATCTGGTTTCTCTGGAAACTGCCATAACAGTATTACCTCCACAAGGCCTCAGCAGCTCTCTCATATCTACACCCCGCTCCCTGAAAATCTGGCAACCCAGCAGACCGTTTGCCTCTACACTGCCCCAGCCTCACCCCTGCTGCCAGCCAGGGCACCCAAGGCCCTTCAGTTGTTCCAGAAGTTATTGTCCAGCGATAGCAGTCTGGCTTCCTGCAGTGGGACCTGTACCAGGCCAGCTTCCTGGATGGCTTGCTGTAGATAAAGGGGCTGGTTTTCTGGGCAGAGTTCTGTATTTATATACAGTCTGGCCCTTGTAGCTTTTCCTGTTCAGTCTTCCCGACCCTAACCAGCTCTCCCTAACAGCGCGCCTGCACTTCTAGCTGCCCCCTCTTCTGCTCCAGCGAGGGGTCTCTGGGGCATCAGAGCTCCCATGGCCAAAACCTAACCTTGCTTTTCCACTGAAAATACCTTCTGCCACCAACCTGCCCTTTACTGTGATGGATCATCTGCCCTTCCAGCTGATGGAGCCACGGGTCCTCCCTCCGACTACCTGCCGCATCAAAAACCCTGGTCAGGGCCTCCCTGGTGGCGCAACGAGTTAAGACGCAACCTTTGGAGCTGTCCGCAGCCTCTGCAGCACGAGTTCGATCCCCGGACAGGGAGCTACCCACATGGCGCAGCAGACCTCTCCTGTCTTGCCCGCTGCTCCCCTCAGCAGTGTATTTCGTCAGTCTGCCTGTTCTGTTCCCGACTCTGTCTCTGGTGAATCCTCTCACCTCCGGCACCTCTGGCCTGTACCCCAGCTCTTGTATGCATAAATAAATAAATCTAAAAAAAAAAAAAAACAAAACCCCTGGTCAGCAACTTTCAAAGGCTGACCCAGAGTCCCATCCCTTCTACCTGCAGCGACACCCCCCTACTCCCTCCCCCCACTCTCCCCGCGGCAGCTCCCCCCTCGCTCTCCCAGCTCTCCCTGCCTCCATCCTCGCCCCCAGGTCAGTTTTGCACCCAGCATCCACACGGAGCCTGTTTAGACCTGAGTCTGCTCATGTTCTGCTCCGCGCTGAACCTTCGGTGGCTCCCAGTAGCCTCAGAATAGAGGCCGGGCTGTCAGCCCCGCCGCCGGGTCCGCCTCGGCCCCCAGCTCTCCGGCGCTCAGGCTCAGTCTCCTTCCCGGCGCCCCCGGGCGCCTAGGAAGCCCTTCCTCGCCTCACCCGCTCCACGGCTCGGCTCTCTCCAATGTCTGGCCTGATTCTGGGCCCTCGACCAGGAGCGACGCCCCTCCCAGGCCCTCACCCTCAAGCGTGCGGCGACCGGAGAGGCGCAAAGGCGGAGGGCAGGCGCGCCTGGCTGGATCGGAGCCCGCGCGGTGGCGGCGGCGCAAGCACTCACCTGCGCGCGCGGGCCCGGCGGGCGTCCGTCTCCCGGTGCCAGAGGCGCACTGCACCCGAGGCGCCGCCTCTGGGGACCCCGCACGCCCCTCTGAGACTGGGGGGTCACGATTCCTCGGAAGGAGGGGAGGTGGATCCAGCCTCACTGTCCGCCCCCGCTCGGTCCCCAAACGCCGCCTGGGAAGCGGCCCCCCCCAACCCAACCGCCCCTGGGCCCGGCCCCGGCCCCGCAGCTCGGGGCGCACTGCCCGGGCTCGGGAGATGACTGGCTGGGCTGAAAAGCAGGAAGTTCCGGCCCCCTCCCGGCTGTCGTTGGCCGGCGTCAGCCGTGACGCACGAGCACCCCGCCTGGGGGTGCGCTTTGCGCCCTGCCCCGGCCCTGCGGGCGCGCGGAGAGCCGCCCCTGCTCCAGCCCGGACCTTGCACGCGCTGCCCCGGGAGCTTTAGTTCTGCCAGGGGCCGTCCCCAGCCTTCTGTGACCCCCTGGCGATAGGGTCAAGCGACCTCGGAAAGACGAAGTCAGCATGGTTTCAAGTTTGGGATACAAGATGCCGTGACATTAACTTGTCTCTCATTCTCAGATCTTAAAGTTAGTCAAGACATGGTGCCTCCCCCCTGGTGGGTCAGGAGTTAAGTCTCAGAGCTATCAAGCTATTGCCAGCCACTGAGGCATAGTTGGATCCCCAGCCAGGGAGCTACCCACATGGCACAGCAGACCACTCCTGTCTGGCGCAATGCTCCCCTCGGCAGTGTATTTCAGTCAGTCTGCCTGTTCTGCTCCCCACTCTGTCTCTGGTGAATCCTCTCACCCCCCGCACCTCTGGCCTGCATCTCAGTTCTTGTATGCATAAATAAAAAATAAATCTTATAATTTCTCCTGTATATTCCTCAACATCTATTTTATGTGATAATCCCAAAGGTCATCCAGTCACAGCCTCAATCTCAATCTTAGTATTTATGCTCTTGATATAACCTAAGACCAAGACACTATAAACAAAATAAGGGATTTACTTTGTTGTATATAGTTACAGTTAGTTTGTGTAGAGTATAGAGTTATTTTGTTATATGTAGTTGTGGGTTAGAGGCACAGAGCAAGGACCTGTATACCCTACAAAAGAGATTCCCGCCAATCTAGATTTCCATATACAGCAAAAATATCGTTCATGAAAAAATCTGAAAAAAGGTTATTTCAAGCCCAAAATGAAATATTTAGTGGGAAATTAACCTGTGTCAGGTGCAATTTAAAGGTTATAGTTAAGAACAATGACAAGTCATTGCAGTAGAAGTTCTGCCTGGAGTGCTGGGAATGGAGGCCTGAGAGAGGAGTGTCTCTGTGGATTAATACAACATTTACTATCTGCTCAAAACGTGACTACTTCCTTCTAGAGTTAGAATGTTGGAATTGCCATGCATACCATTAAATCATAGAAATCAAGGGCCTCCCCGGTGGCGCAGCGGTTGAGCGCTGGGTTGCGAAGCTGCCCGCGGCCTCTGCGGCGCCGGTTCGATCCCCGGCTGCTCCCCGGCCACCGGAGGAGGGTCCCACATGGCGCGCAGACCTCTCCTGCCGCCCGCTGCTCCCCTCAGCAGTGTACTTCATCCGTCTGTCTGCCTGCTCTGCTCCCTGCTCTGGCTCTGGTGAATTCTCTCACCCTTCCACGCTTCTGACTGTACCCAGTGCTTGTATAAACAAACAAACAAATAAATAAATAAAACATGCCTCTATAAAAAAAAATCATAGAAATCAAAATGGGAGAAAGTGATTAATATTCCAAGTCCTTACAGGAATGTTTCATCATCATCATCATCATCATCATCACTACCACAAGTCCTGATTTTCCAGGACGAAGGTAGAGGTATTTATAACTCTGTGTACTATATGTTAAAATAAGTATATATAATTTTTATTTACATTTTGTAATTTGCAATTTTCAGCTGAAGTAATGAATAGAAGAGTTTGGCAAGACGGCAGCAGAGTGAAGCCACCAGCCACCCCTCCTCTGGGTACCCACAGCTGAATTGCAGCAAAGCAAAGTCAATAACGCCTGAAGCTGCACTGGTGGTCACCATACCCGACAGGAGCAACAGTCCGGTGGAAAGGGGTAGGAAAAACTTTCATTGAACATGTTTATAGTGATTCCAGGACAGTACAGTGCAGGAGGGGTGGGGGGAGCTGCCAGGTGGAACCTTCTGTTGCTGTTTACTCAGGGCACACAGACCCACATGAGGGACTTTGGGGATCTGGCACTGCCCTGGATAAGAGGGTGCACAGACTTGCATCTGGGACAGAGGGCACACTGTTGGAGAACTGGAGGACGGGCGCAGAGTGCTGTTAACTGACTTAAGCCTCAGGTTCCCAGAATAAAACAGCTGAGCCCAAAGTGGCGGGAAGAGCCAGGTTGGACAACCTCTGTCTTCTCATAGACAACGCGATTACTTGCAGCCTTAGGTTGTGATACTTTAAAAACCTGCCAGACCCTCCCCCGACTAGGGCCAAAATGAAAGAACAACTGATCACCAGATCCTGACCTCACAGGCACCTCATCACAACTGCCATGATGGCCATCGTGTATGGGGCTGTTGATGGTCATGCTCCAGACTAGGGGTGCCTGAGGCACCTGCCCACCCCACATTACCTCAGCAACCCCCACAGCTGGTCGCCCCACCAGGGCCAGTGATCTGGCTGGATGCGGTTCTTACTATAATTGCAGAGCACACTTTAGCCCAAACCACCAGGGAACTTGGATGAAAAGATTTATTACTCCCAGGTCCTGGGAGTTACATGGCCTGCCTGAGGGCCACACCAGGATCACAAGGGGAGGGAGAGATAGAGCGAGAGAAGAAATGGGCAGAGAAGGGGGAACTGAGACTTAGAGCCCCCCAAATAACAGATGGATGGAGCAACCCAGGCGCAGGTCCAGTGACAGCTTGAGCAAGCCTCGGGGCCTGATTCCAGGCACTGGGGAGGGGCCTCCAGTTTTAAGTCCTTTACTAGGCAGAACTGAGTCCTGAGGAGACATTTAACTAGCAGGTTCCCCTGGTGTGGAGACACTGCAGGATGGGCATTTCTGTGTAGTTTCCAAGCTCAGTATCCTCCCCTGAGAGCGCCTTACTCATCCTCACCCCTGCCTCCCACTCTGCTCCCAGAGGCAGCATCCAAGGCTTGTCCACATCATCTACCAGCTGTGGTGGTCCCGGCCACCCCCGTCTCTTGCTGGAATTCTTGAGGCAGCCACCTCCCTAGTTCCTGGAAGCCTGCACCCCCAGCAGCTGGTCCTCCCCCTCCTGGCCTCCTTTTCCTCTATTAAAATCTACAGCTGTTCAACCTCTGTGGGAGGCTAACCCACATGTGTCTCCCATCCCAACCCACCTCGAGCTCCATCAGAGCTGGGGTGTCTCCCTCCCCTTTACACCCTCACATTGAAGCAGAAACAGTGGGTCCTTGATGCATATTTACTGTGAACATGAGTGATATTGGGGGCATGCAAAGAGGGATGGGGCCAGATCAGTGGCGGGTGTGTAAGGCAGGGATGGAGCGAGACATCTGCACACAAGCTCCCAGCCTGCAGAGTACCCCCAAACATCATGGTACCCCAGGGCTCAGAAAGGATGGGGTGCAGCTCACGCTTGCATACTGTGAAGGAGGGCCTTGATGGACACATTCAAGAGGGAGGTGAGTGGGACACAGTTCCTTCAGGCCCTGAAAGTCTGTCCCTCGTGCCTCCTGGACTTCTCATGGCCACTGGTCTCACAGGCTCCTTAACTGACAGGCCAGGTGCCATCTTCTTCTGCCTTGTGGCACCGAGGTTGGTGGGCAGCCATGAGTCTGCTCCCGTTGGCTGTGGGGGAGGCAGTGGGAATGCCATGGGTGCTTTGAACAGCTGGAGGGGGCTGCTCTAGGTATCCCCTCCCAAGAGGGGGTGCATGGAAAATTATGCTTCCTGATAGATTTAAATTTGCTTTTCTGTGAAGTGAGTAACTTTTCCAGTTCAAAACACTAATGTGTTTTATTTATTTTATTTTTTTTAAGATTTATTTATTTATTTATACAAGCACTGGATACAGTCAGAAGCGCAGGAGGGTGAGAGAATTCACCAGAGCCAGATCGGGAAACAGAACAAGCAGATCGACGAAATACACTGCTGGGGGGCGCAGCGGGCAGCAGGAGAGGTCTGTGCGCCATGTGGGACCCTCGCCTGGCAGCGGGGATCGAACTGGCGCTGCGGAGGCTGCAGGCAGCTTCGCAACCCAACGCTCAACCTCTGCACCACCCGGGAGGCTCCCAACACTAATGTGTTTTAAATCTCATAGTACTTGCTCATTTTTTTTTAAAAAAGAGGATGGTTATTTTTTCTTAATGATTTTTAGAAGCTCTTTATATATGTGGACTCAGCTCTGAGCACTGGTGGTTGAGCCTCATCAGCTGGTGAAATCTGAGTCCAGCCTAGA